CCCCAAAACCCCAAAACCCCAAAACCCCAAAACCCCAAGAGTTATGAATAGGTTTGAATCAATAGAGTAATTTTTATCAAAGATGCTTGAGTAATTATGTCATGTAATGCAAATTGGAGAAATTTCTTACTCTATCGTCAAACGAAAGCTGGTTCACACTTCTGTGTTCAACCTTTCTTTCTTTGAAGCTCCATTCGAATCTGAAATTACCCCAATCTTTGTCTGGGTCAACCTTATGCAACACCATCCACATTTCTTGAGTCAGAGGCTTGATAGAGGACTCGATAGTGCTCACAGGTGCTTTAATGTTTTCTCTGCTGAGGTCATCCTCGCAGATTAGCTGCAGGTCAACTACCATTGTCTTGGTAAAGTTATTGATCACAGAGGCTACCATAACAAAGTCAGCCTCTTTCTTAGGGAGGGTCCAGTCTGATCCTTCTTCTTGGCCATTGCTGGCTGATTCCTTATTGACTCCAATTTGGATATCATCGTCCAGATTTGAGACACTTTCCTTAGGCATGCCTTCTCTTTTGTCTGGCTCATCATCTCCTTCGGCTGCTGTAGTATCTTCAATGGAGCTCAGATGCTTTTGCTCATAATCAGCAGCTTCAGTCTTTGCATTATAGAAGGCATAGCTTGGTAAGGTCTTATTCCCAAAATAGGTTGGCTGAGATTCAGCAATTTCACAGTAGACTTTATGAACAATGATAGCAATTTGGTCCTCTTCTCTGGCTTCCTCATAAATCTTCTCTATCTTTGTAGCGCAGTTGATCAGATATCTCTTTGGAATTGCTTCAATAAGTTCGTGGACTTGCTCTTTCTGCTCTTCTTGGTTAGAATCCTTGTTTTCTTCCTTCTGTTCTTTAGTCTCTTCTTTCTTCTCTTCAGTCTTGGATGGTTCCTCTTCTAGAGGCAATCCTTGGAGCTTTCTGTTATAATTTCTGAGTTTATGTTCATATTTTTCGAGATATCCAAAGCACTTCTTGATGCTTTCTTCTTTCTTGTTATTCTTGCTGTAGACTGAGATAACTCTGGAAGTCTTCTCCAACTCATTTTGGAGATAAGGTCTGATCCAATCTGTGAATCTAGCAGATTCATAAGTCAATGGGTCGAGGTTGAACATGTATTCACTGAGGAAGTCACTTCCGACAATGATATCGAAGAGAATGTTGAGGCAGTTTACAACGTAGAGATCCATTTTTCCTCTGTATCTTGCTAACAAGGCTAATAATGAATTTTCTCTTCCGTTTAAGTCTAATGGGCACTTGTATTGGTATACTTCATCAACAATACTATGACAGTAGGATACCCCCAATCTTGGGATCCCTTCAGGGTTAGTCAACTTAGCATTGATACAGCCAAATCCTAGAATCCATTCAGCTCTGTTTCTTTGGTATGGGTCTTGAATGTAGAGGTATTGCTTTGCAACAACCATACAGTTTTGGATCTTTTCGTAATCAGTGGAATTGATTGTCTTGATGATCACCTTTCCAATCTCCTTTGATACTTCAAGGTTGTTAAATGAAATATGAGCAAATGCCTTTCCAAGCATTACATTTGAGTTAACAAGAGATATCTTCAGGAATTCAGGATGAAGCAAGAAGGTTTTAATATCTTCTTCCTTAAGCTCATAGTGTACAGAAGCTTCTGAGTTAAATGTGGCTGGCTTTACTTCAGACTCCTTGTTAAATTCAGGTGTATAGCATCTAACTATGAGATGTGATACTGCTTCAAGAAGAGGCCCGAACTTTGGAACAGAGTATGCACTTCCCATTTTAGTCCTCTTTTCTCCGATCTTATATAGAGGACTGCTCTGTGCAAGCATAAAGTCAATGAATCCAATGATTCCACCTCTTTCCATTGCCTGGTTGATCTGAATCTCTCCACCTGTAATAATATTTCTTAGCATGCTAAGGTATTGCTCAAACTTAGTCCAGTATGTTGGTCCTTTTTCTCTAAGAGCTTTTAGAGCAAGATCGTAGAATCTGACAGCCATTGACTTTGGTCTGATAATTTCTTTCTCAACTTCTTGTTCTTCTTTGTCTTGATCCCCAGTTGAAATAAGGTCCTCAACTACCTTGATTGTAACCTTTTCAGTCTCATTGATATAATCTTTTTCAATCTCGAAGCATCTGTTGACTAGTGTCGAAGTGAGCTTGGCAGCAGCATTTCTTGAGACTTTATCGTTACATTCCAGCATTATTTTGAATACATACAATAGACTGTCGTCATTTTCACCCTGAAGGATATACTCCATCGTGGTCAACACAGCTTTATCTGAGGCTTCATAGAGTTGACAGAGAGTATCTGCAATCTGAGGGAGTTTTTGGTTGTGATAAGCCTTTACAAGGACCTCATAAACAATCTTGTTTCCAACTGTAGCAACATTGCTAATGACCTCATCAATCTTCTCTTTTTCAGTGTCTGGCAGACTATTTTGCTTTTCCTTGAAAGTAAGAGTTCCAATCATTAACTCATTGACATATTCATAGAATTCTTTTGAGTAAATAAGCTTCTCAAATGAGAATTCCAAATTTTTTGACCAGATCTCTTGATAGATCTTATTAGGGACAAACATTTTAGCCTCTTTCATGGTGATTTGGTAGTATTTTTCTTTAGTTTTAGGGTCAGTCTTAATTTCAGCATTTTGTGGGATCACAGTCTTGTTTACTTTACCTTCTTCCCCTTCATTCTCTTCAGGGATCAAAATTTTAATAGGTTTCTTGAATCTCTTTTCATACACCAAGAGATAAGCGCTCTTACCATAAGATGCGGTTTTGAACATGCCTCCGAACCAGTCGTCTCCGCCAGAGCTTCCTCCATAGCAATCTCCTTTAAGGTCTTCAAAGTTATAATCGCTGACTCTGGAATCATTGAACTCCATCCACTTGTCCTTACTGGTATCGAGCCATTCCTCTTCATGCTCATTCTCTTTTTGGAATCTATCTGTGTTAATCAGGGAGTAATAATGGCCAGCATCTGCAGTTCCAACATGGATGATGACACCTACAAGCTTATATTCATAGCATTCAGTTTCATTTTCTCTGACATTTTTAAGGTAGAGTTCCCTCTCTTCTATTCTTTCCTTCTTTTCTTCTTCGGTGAGACCTTCATATTGGTCTTCACCCTCTTCATCAGATTCTTCAGCGTTAGGGTCGACCTTGCCTAATTCTTTATCAGTGAGTTTTCCTTCTTCCTTCATCACGTGGTTGATACTGTAAGGCTTCAGGTCTAAGTTCTCAGGGAATTCGAAGTGGGTATTCACCTTTTGGTTCTGGAAAGTATTGAAATCAAAGATCAATCTCTGCAGTTGGACGACTAGTACATTTGGAGATTTCGAGAAGAGCGTACGCTTTGTGATATCAACCTTTTTCTTACATCCAGGGCATTCGTAGTCAGAGATCACCTCTCCTTCAAGAGTCTTTTTGATAGACTCTTCAAGTGACTTACGTTCTTTGACTGTAACAGAGACATTGTAGAAGTCTTCAAATCTGTTACGAGCAAATCCACATTCTTGGCAGACCATTTGAGAGCAATTTTGTCCGTTGAAAGTAGAGTTGAAGAGATACTTTTGAGGAGTTGGCTTGATCAAATTCTCAATTCTGTCAAAGAGAATATTATAAAATTCTTCAGTATCATGTTGGACTGAAGTATTTGTGGGCTGCCCATCTAATTGCTTGAAGGAGAAGCAAAATTCGAATGGGTTGTAATCTACCTTCTCAGAGAGTTCTAAGTGACCGAATAATCTTTGAAGCTGATGGAGTACATTATCATCAATAGTTCTTCCTTTAAATTCTACCCACTCAGGAACAGCTCCATCATCAGCTTGAAGTAGTTGATATCTGAAAGATGGTACATGGTACAACTGTTGAAGCATTGAGTTCATATAACAGATGCATCCTAAGTTTCTGATTCCGCTATACTTTCCTTTTCTTGTGCTTCCAGATGGAGTATACATCCAAGATGGGTGTAATTTGATCTGTTTACAGAGTGGCTGCATTTGGTTAACAATCAGCTCATTGAGAAGTTCAATCGAGTTGTTGCATAGAGTCCAAAGTAGTTTATATGCCCACTTCCTGCTCTCCTCAGTCTTACATTTGTTTCCACCTAGTAATGAAGAAGCAAGGTCAGTTCCTTCTGTGACATCCTCATCAGAGACTGCAATGTTATTTGGGAAGAGACATCTTCTAAAGAGTTCTGTGATGAAGTTGTTCTCAATAGCAATATCAACTCATTCTCCAAGACCTCCTCTCTCGAGTACCATGTGAGCTATCTTAAGGTACCCAATGAGAGTCTCATCTTGTTTCAGAGAGTTTCTAACCTCTCTTGATTGGTGAGATTTGATCTTTGCGATTACTTCGGTGAAGAATTTCGTAGCGTCAAGGATCTCCTTGTTGACATTTCCTTGCTTTACTCTGATGAAGTACTCTTCAATTAATTTCGAGACTAGCTCGAAGTACTGAGAGGTGCATGCTTCCTCGCCATCATTATCCTTAGGAAGCTTATTCAGCATGGCTTTGAGGGTGTACTCAAAGGTGTTTATTTGAGTCTCAGTAATTTTAGTTGCAAACAAGAAAAGAGTGTGTAAGAATTCCTCTCTGATTCTGTAGAGTGAGGGATAAAGAATTCCTCTAAGAATAAACTCTTGGATGTCATCAAATTCTTTACATTTGAAAGTGAAGAAGTTGTCCAGAATGTTTTGGTTGTGAAGGATGCATCCTAGCCACAGTGATAATGAGCTCTCAACAATCTTTTTCTCATCAAAATCCATCTCTTCTTTGACAATTATTGAAGCAATTGATTGTAAGACGATAGTCTGGAGTTGATTGAAATCAATAACCTTGAGCATTCTATCACCAAGATCGCCCTTTAACTGAGATGCAAGCATTTCAATCTTTTTGTCAACTGCATCAGTATCAGGTTTTGTTTTAATAGAGCTTGCTTTCTTGTTCAGCGGAAGGTCATCATCACTTCCGTTATCAGCTTTATCAGAGTCCATATCATCTAAATTTTCAAAGAGGTAGTCTTCCGTGATCATTCCAGTTCCATCTAAATCATTACCATCTCCATGGAGACTTCCAAAGGCATCAATCGAATCAGGAACATTAGTCATGATTATTCTGGACCTAGGGTTCTTTCCTTTAGGAGTGGAGTAGATGTTTTCTTCGTCATCACTATCAGCTCCCCAAGTCTCTTCATTATCATCTTCTTTTGGAGGTTCTTTGATTATCGACTGTTTCTTGACCAAATTCACCAGGTTTGCTACTTCGGGCTTAACAGCTAGGAAAGCAGATGTTATGAAAATCTTCAGAATTTTAAGCAAGAATCCTAAGAAGTTCTTTTCAAAGCTATTCATATTTGTAATATCATTCTGGGTCTTAGAGAACAAGTCATAAGAAAACTCGAATCCTTTCTTTTCAAGGAATCTAAAGATCCAGGTCTTCTTGAGTTCTCTGGTCTCTGCTTCAGTCTTGAGAGCTTCCTCAATATCCTTCTGGTTGGAAGCAAGGAGTTCTGACACAAGGAATTCTTCAGGTCTTTCTTTTTCCTCTTTCTCCTTTTCTTCATCATCTTTCTCTTCTTCTTGTTTATTCTTTGGCATTTGAGCACCATATCCTCCAGCCATGGAGGTCTTGGCCTTGGGAGGTTCTTTGTTCTTGTAGACTTTGCAGATCTCTTGTTCAGAGCCACTTCCTTCTTCAATCAAGCTCTCAATGATTTGGAAGGTGTAAAGAAGTTTGAAAATACTCTTTGTATCGAAGAGGGACTCCCAGTCATATTCTCCATTTTCTTTCTTGTTCACATTCAGACTCAAAATTTTATTGTTGATCGATGGATTCGTTACAAGTTTCTGGATCAAATCCCAAGCCTGCTTAGAGGAGTCATCCGGTCTGTCTAGGAGACCTAGAAGAGTTTCAAAGTACTTAGACTCGTGAGAAAGGATGAATCTTGGCAAAACTGTCTTATCAGTGTTCTCCTCACAAGTATCACTGATTTTCTTCAAGTCGTTTCTGTAGTTGTGAGCTAGGATGTTTGATCGAACAACTTCCTCCTTCTTTACACATGCAAGTCTGTAGAATTCAACAAATCCTTCCTTGTCTACCTTTCCATCATTGTCATGATCATGGTTGTTGAAGAGGTTCTTGACTCTGGTGTCAGATGTCTTGCATTTATCGTCAGTGCATGATCTGATGAATTCAACACAATCTTCAGGAGTCATTAACCCATCATGAGAGAAATCATCGAACCATTCACCGAAAATATCCTGAGCTTCTTTAGTAAGGGACTTATCCCTATTGAGTAATGGAGCTTTAGGGATATTTCCAAGATTTTGTTTGTTGGCTATCAAGGTCTCGTTTGTCTTAAAGTTCAACTCGGCCAGAGTTTTACCGTTATCAATGTCCTTAATCTCACAAGAAGTGGCAGATCTGACTAGCTTGACATATTCAGCAGGGACTTTGTTGATAGCTCCAATAATTCTTTTGATGTCATAAACAGTAGCGTTACTGTAGAGAGAGACTTCTATCTTTCTGCCAATAAGCTTGTTGTAGGATACTGAATTTGTGATATTGATCTTCTTGATAAGTTCACCTTTCAGGAGAGATCTCTGTTGCTTGAGTCCAGTGGTTCCTTTTCTCTCAGACTGGGCTAGGAATTCATTGAAGATTCCAACAATATTGATGATCTCATTCGATTTACTTTCCTCAGACTTATCTTTATTAGCCTGAATTTTAGAGAGGAAAGCTAATGCAGTTTCAATACATTCATAGTTAATTTCTTTCTTTTTATCTTCAAGGCTTGGGCAAAGATTATAGTAAAGTTTTATCAAGAACTCAGTCGCCTTCTTGCTGACATCTTTATTGCTGCATTCGATAGCGATCTTCCACATATTGGTTACTCCTTCGAGATTTTTAGGCTCTGTAAGTACCAGGAAATTAACTTCTTCAGCTGGCTCTTCTTTGTTTTGCTTCTTTGTCTTATTGAAGGAGAAAGTGGAAAATCCTGGCCCATACTGATTTCCATAACTTGTGTAGACAGGAACTGGCTTAGGCTTGACTATTCTTTCAAGATTCTCAGCAGTTTCATTAGCTAGTAAGAAATAGCTTTGCATGCAGTAGAATCCATCAAGAGTCAAAGAGGTCATTTCTCCAGTACCTTTTCCTAATCTTTCATTGAATATAGCTCCAATATCTTCAAGTTCCCATACGATATTAGTTCCTGAAGACTTCTCACAGGATTCTTTAAGCCATTTGAACAAGGCTCCTTCATCATAATCAATTTGGGATTCATCAACAAGGCAACTCCAGATAATCTCAACTTCTTTTCTTGAAATAGTGAAGGTTGAATTAGAAGCGAGGAACTTCAAGAAGTCAAGTCTCTCTTTGATATTGGTCTTATGGTCATATCTTCCTTCAAATTTGAACTCTTTGATCTTAGACTTATCTTTCACTTTACCTATCTTTGTCTGAGATACTTTACTGTAGCATCTAAGATTTTCAAGTAAGACTTCAATCAAATTCTCATTTTCAATGAAGAAGATGATGGATTCAGCTACACTGTTGATTTTATCATCCGTGCTCTCCGCCTCGTTGGTCTTGTCCTCTTCAGGAGTTGCTAGGCTTCCAGATTCTTCAGAATCAAAGATGAATTTGGAATAATCAACCTCGTTGATAATCTTCTTTAGGATCTTAAGAGATTCAATCGAAGAATAATGGCTTTTTAAGTTATCTAAGCACTTGTAAAAGTACGATTTTGCAGTGCTAAACTTCCATTTCTTCAACAAATCTCCTAGCTTAGTGATAGCAATATCAGATACATCAAATGGGTTTTTATCATCAGTTGCGAATCTCCATAACAGCTCGGCAACCGAGGCTGAATGCTCATTAGAGGCTTTAGAAGATTTACCCATTTCATAGATGCAGTTTACAGCTTCAGGAATGATCTTGACTTCCTTGTCTTGAGTAAACTTGTCAAGGAATTGAACCACATGATGATTTTTCATCACACTAGAGACTTCCTCAATGATATTATAAATCTCTCTTCTATTTTCATCATCAAAGGAGGTTCCTTTCCAGAAAAGATCTAGCTCCTCAGTGGTTAGCTGATCTTCAGTAACCAAGAATTTTAGAATCTCCTTTGATCTTTGGACAATCTGTACATGGTAGTTCTTGTGATCAAAGATGATTTCAAGAATTTTGTTGTTCTTAATCCACTCAAGCATAAATTCACCAGTCATTTTGCTTCCTCTCGCATATTTGAGGCCTTTGATACTTTCAGCAAGACTCTTGATACCATGAATCCTTCTCTCAAGGAAGTTTGACTTCAGGCACATAAGAGCAATGTTTAGGTTAAGATTATCAAGAGTTTTATCTCTCTCTTCATAGTTCATAACTCTCTTGAGAATATCTCCTAGTCTACTGACAATTTGTTCGACCTTCTCTTTCTTGATATTTCTGATGCTTTCTTCTGGAGCGTTGAAGATGGCATTGAGCACTCCTTCCTTCACCTTTGGAGCAAATTCAGCAATGAAGTCTCTGTGGTACATTGGATAGATCCTTCCCATTAATTCCATGTAATGAGCAAGAAGTTCAAGATTTATTGGATTCTCTTTATCTGTGGTTCTAGCAATTATCTGATCAAATCCTCCTTGTTCTCCAAATAGATTAATGCATTCAGTCAATAAGGATGATTTACATCTGGTAGGTCTTGTGACAGCATAGATACGAGCATCTCCTTCGTTAAGTTGAGGGTCACTAGAGTCATCAATGACTGTTTCTTCATAAAGTCTAACGCCTCTTGCTCCCTTAGACTTAGCTTGAGAGAATAATTTAGATACCTTTGGGCTCCACCTAGGGACCCATTCATCAAATTTTGCTGACCAACCTTCGTACTTTTTACCTTCGTCATCTAATTTCTGTGCATCATCCCTGTATAGTCTGAATCCGACTTTAAGCATGTCCCAGGTTCTGTCGTTAATATCTTTTTCTTCTTTGATTTCAAGGATGGTAGAGGAGTACCAGACCTTAGCCTTATCAAAGGCATCGATTTCATCGCCAGGCTTGAGCTCTCCTTTCCATTCTTGGTCTTTAGAGAACTCCCCAAGAGGTGCGATTTCTCCAGAGAATCTGTTCAATATCCTACACAAAATTAGAATATCGGTCGATTTGTGATAAAAATGTCAGTAATCTGCCAGAACTTACTTGTCATAAATTTTTGAGTCTCCTTCCATTTCAAGATCTAGGAGGTCTTCTCTGATCTCTGTGACCTTGGCGATTCCCCAGCACTTGTGCTTTTCATCACCTTTGAGAGCATCGACTCGGTCACCAACTTTTAGGTCATGTCTCCATTGTTCTTTCATCTTTTGTTCCATCTAGAGGAATTTAAGAATTTGGTAGATTTTAAGAGTGCACAAAGGAAAATGCAATTAAGATATGACACATGTAAGGCATATACAAATTTCACCTACAATTTTTTGTTCTGACTGGGTATCCTGGTAATGGTAGGAATGGAGCAAACAATTTGGGTCAAAAACGTATTTCATGTGGTCTGCAAGCTCGTCATTATCGATTCTTTTGAGAAACAGCCTTGTGAATTGCTTCATTACAACAGCAATAGCATCCAGATACTATGAAAAATTAAAGATATTCTTAGCTAAGGCTTACCTCTGGATCTGTCGATTTTTCCTTGTTAAGTCTCTTCAGAAGATTGAGGGTGCATTCTTGGTAGAAGAAGTCTCAAACTTCTTCGTTCTCTTCGAGACGAGAAGGATCTTCGATGACCTTCTCAATGAAAACAGATAAATCTTTCATGACTTCCAGGGGTTCTTCTCTATGGTCAATGGTGTTCTTGACTATGAAATAGTTGTTCTTAGCAGCATCGAGTTGATCTTCCCATGTTTCAACTATCTTCTCTCCTTCACCAGTAGGTGTAGTAGTTTCTTCAGGCACTTCTGGCAGCTTTGGATCTGACATATTCAGATTTTTATTTTTATAAAAGATTTAATACTTTATGGTTCCAGCTTACATCGACCCAATGGGGTTTTGGGGTTTTGGGGTTTTGGGGTTTTGGGG